TCTTATTTAAGTCTGGACTTCATGGCAATTCATCTGCAGGGGTAAAGCTACATTTCTCATTATAGGCTCGCAGGGAACCAGAACCGGAACTCTCCAGGGCGGTATGTCAGCACAGAACAAGGAACGGTGCCTGTCACCTCTTACTGGAGCTTAGATCATAGGACCTGCCACCTCTCCAACCAAGGTCAGAGGATGCTGGTCTACCATTTCACTTTCTCAGGCTCATTTTGGCTTCAGAGTATAACCATCCTCAGCCTCCCCAGCTGGGTGATGCCATGGCTTGTCGATTACGGGCATGGCTCTGTCCCTTACTGGCTATGTAAAACGTATCCAGCTAAACCACAAGGATGATGATAAATCTCTCCTGTAATTATTGGGAGGTAGTTAATTTAAAAGACATAACACAGTGTCTGGCACATCGTAATCACTTACTAAAGAGTATTTCTCAGCCGGGTGTGGTGGCACAAGCCTGTAGTCCCCGCACTCAGGAAGGTGAAGTGGGAACGTCACTGTGAGTTTGAGACCAGTTTGGGCTACAAAGTAAGTTCAAAGCCATTGTAGACTACATAGTGAGACCCTGTCTCAAAAAAACAAAAACAGAAACAAACTGGAAAAACAAATGGTACTTTTTAGTATCTTAAACTAATTGGAAGTTTGGTGATGTTGGGATGCTACTTTTCTCTAGAGCACAAAGGGCAGACTTTCGTGGCCCAGAATGAACTAAAGCTTAGGTTAAATCCAGATGTAATTCTGGCATTGAAGAACAAAAATCTACCTATCATCTTCTGGTGCTTATGGACGTAAGAAGGACTCGAACACAGGGCTGTATATATGTTCGCTTGTATTTTTTTTTGAATATTCAAAGTACAGGCCGGGCGTGGTGGCTCACACCTGTAATCCCAGCCCTTGGGAGGCTGAGGCGGGAGGACTGTTGTGAGTTCAAGGCCAGCCTGGGCTACAAAGTGAGCTCAAGGTCAGCCTGAACTGCATACTGAGATTCTGTCTCAAAAAGACAAAAAAAAAACAAAAAAACAAAAAAACAAAAAAACAAAGTACAGTTACTTTTAGGGCATTGTTTAGAAATGGGCCATACACTTAGGTCTGTTATACATAAACTAATATGCACAAATAATTATACATATAAATAAATGACTCCATGTTCAATCATCTGCAGTACGTAATTTTCAATATGCTGAACCAAATGCTACTAGGGAAGGAAGGGTCAACAATGGCTCTACCACTTACTAAATGTGTGAGCTGGAGAAAGTTACTTAACTTCCTATCTCCGTTTCCTCATTGTGAATTTGTATTCTTTTTTTTTTTTTTTTGTCTTTTTGAGACAGAGTCTTGCTATGAAGTTCAGGCTACCTTGAGCTCACTTTGTAGCCCAGGCTGGCTTCAACTCGCAGTGATCCTGTCTCAGCCTCCCTAGTGCTGGGATTACAGGCGTGCACCACCACACCCAGGTCTTGAATTTATATTCTTATCTAACTTGGAGAGTTGCAATGGGATGAAATGGGATGTCCAAGGGAGTGTGCCTGTCAGACAGATGTTAAATGACTGTTAAAGTGGGATCTAGAGTACTGTCATCAACTGTCTTGGTTTCTTGTCAGCAGTTTTACTCTCTTAGACAGTTTGGATGAAATTATGTGTAAGGAGAAGGCTGCTCAGGGAAGACTTGGTGAGGAAAAGAACTGGCTGGGTGAACATATTTAATCCTGCATGCAACTCTACCACAGCAAATGTAATGATACCTGGAGGAGGATGACGGAGGGTAGTGACAGACAGGACAGTCACGCAGCCAACCTCGCTAAGAGGTTTCACAGTGAATTGCCTCTGTAGCTGTTTGCTTAGCAGATTGTGTTTCTGACCTGGAAACACCCTCTCTGGACCACAGCTGAGAGATGGAAACATCTGGATTCTCCAGGTTCACTGGTTTGGGAGGAGGGAGGGTGGAGCTCTGGGTTGGGAGGGAAGACACCTGTGTTCTAGTCCCACTCACTGCATTCCACAGGTGTGTCACTTCAGCTCGGTCCCAGGGCCTGTGGATTGAAACTGATGTTCTCTAGATCATTTCCAAGTTCTGGCATCTTTTAATTCCATGAATGTGGCTGGGCACAGTGGCACACGCCTGTGATCCCAGCATTCTGGGAGCATGAGGGTCACAAGGGTGAGCCCAACCTAGGCAACTTAGCTACTTCAAAAAAATAAAAATAAAAATAAAATAATAAAATAAAAAAAGGGCTGGGCATGTAGCTCAGTACAAAAGCCCTGAGTTCAATCCTGAGTACTACACACACATTCATACAAAAAGAGACATTTTTGATTCCATGAATGTGTAACTTGTTTCTTTGCTGAAGAACACAGTCTTCATAGACAGAGGCAGTGCCGAAATGAGCTCGCCTCATTCCGTTATGAAATATTTCTGGCTTTCTGAATAGAGAGGGGCGGGATTCAGCTAGATGAATAATGAGGATGAGGAAATAAGCTTCTAAAGCCAGGGCACAGAGTCTGGTCTTTAATGACTTGGTGGTGATGCCCTGTTTGTTTCCTAACACCCACGCTCTGATGGTCTGTGTTAGGTCTCTTGGTTGGAGAATTTGTTTTTACTTCCTAGCCAGGTTGTTCTCTTGGATCCTGAGCTGGTTTTCAAGTCCTTGTCACCCTGGAATGGCTTCTCTGTGTGTTTAGGCATCCAGCTGGGGAGCCCTCATCCTCTCTCCACTGCTGACTGTGGATGGATGTGTCAGAGCAGGTTGAGTCATGGGGAAGGTACGAGCTCTCCTGCATTGTCCCTGGACTGGTCCCTCCTGAACTGTTTTCTCTGGAACCAGTTTAGTCACCGCCAAACTCTCAAAACAGATGTCCCTCCAATGCCACAAAGACTGCTGGTTCCCAGGTGCAGTGGGCCTCTCCTGAGAAAAGCTGTTCATTGGTGGTGAAGCCGCAGGTGAGAACTTTTTAGCACAAAGTGAAGTCGCTATCTTTGCCTTTTTACAGTACTTGGCCACTGGGACACTGCCTCAGCACGCTGAACTCACAGCAACAATCTCAGGGTATTAGTCAACCCCATGTACAGACAAGGAAAGTGATGTTTAGGAAGACTGAGTTATTCCCAAGGGCATGTAACAAAGAAGCAGTGAATCTGGGACCTAAATGTCAGTCTGCTGACCCCAGTGCAGTGTTCTTCCCATGAATACAACAGAACCAGGAAGTCAATTCAAACCCATGTTCCCACATAAGCCGGAAGAATTGTGTGAATATTTCTTGGTTACCGATCTCATGACTCATCGGCCCAGTCTGTTTGCCAATGTCATTTTTATGGTGGTGTAGTCATTTTCCTGACACTCATGGCCCATGCAGAGTGAAATCAGGCAGATAAGATACTAGGGCTGTTTTCTTAGGAAATGTACATTCCAGAGACACATTTCAAGTGAGAGGCCAGTATTTGATGTTTGTGCCTTAAAGTGGGAACAGAATAAGGGGTAAGGAACCAAAGACAACAGCAAGAAATTGCTTATAGAAAAAATTATTCCATTAAGGGAAGTAAAGTCATTAATCCACACAAATATCACCAAACACTTACTAAGCATCTATTATGTGTCAAGCTCTGTACTAGCAACAGGTGTTACAACAAATAAGATTTAGTCTCCACCATCAAATAACTTATAGTTCCAAGGGGAAGATAAAACTGTCAATACATGATTGCAATGAAATGTAATAAGCAGTCCAGGATGAGGTATATATAAAGTTTTGTAGTGCCAGGAGGCAGAGAAGACTTAGAGAAGAGGCAATATTTTACCTGCATTAAGAAAACTGTCATCATCTTTAGGACTTCCCTGTCACCATGCAATTATTTCCTATGAACTAGGAAGCATGTCCTAGATATTCTTTCTTTCTTTTTTTTTTTTTTTTTTTTTGTGACAGGATCTTGCTGTGCACTTCAGGCGGGCTTTTAGCTCACTTTGTAGCCCAGGCTGGTCTCAAACTTGCAATGATCCTCCTGCCTCAGCCTCCCAAGTTCTGGGATTAGAATCATGTGCCACCATGCCCGGCTTGTCCTAGATATTCTACTAAATAGTCCATGTACGTTAAAATTCAAAGTTTCACAATCAGCCTCAGGAAGAACTGGGGTCATCCCTGTTTTTCAGAAGAGGAAAACAGCCAGAGAGATGAAATAGCTTGCTCAAAGACCCTTAGCTAGTGAGTGGCAGAGTCAGGATTTGAACCTGGGCTAACTGACTCTTGAGAGCCTCTGGAACAGTGGTGGCCATGGCTGTTGCAAAGAGGAGAAGGTGTGCATGGATTCATTCACTGTGAAGAGCTGGGAGCATTTCAATGTGGCCGAGGCGTGACAGAAATTGTGTCTACCTTCATTGTTCTCCAGTCCCCTTTCTGTATCCTTTTCCCTATTTTTCATCATTATTTTCATGCAGTTCTATTTTAAACCATAGTTTAAATTTTTGAACCACATCAATATTGCAGGTGGGCTTGGTGGTACATGCCTGTAATCCCAGCACTCGGGAGGCTGAGGCAGGAGGATGGCTATGAGTTCAAGGCCAGCCCGGTGAGTTCAAGGACAGCTTGAACTGCATAGTGAAACCCTGTCTCAAAAAGCCAAAAAAAAAAAAAAAAAAGGAAAAAAATTGCAGACCTTTGGTAGGTTGACAGTCTGCAAAAATATCAGCTCATGGTTATAAGCTTTTTTTTTTTTTGGTGATACTGGGGGTTGAACCCAGGGTCTCCACACTGAGCTACATCCATATGCTATTTTTTTTTATTTTGAGACAGGGTCTCACTAAATTGCTCAGCTGGGCTTGAACTCGCAATCTTCCTGCCTCCGTCTCCCAGAGTGCTGGGATTACAGGCACATACCATTACATACCCCATGGTACCCTTTTAAAGATAGGTATTCTTTTCTTTTTTTTCTTTTCTTTTCTTTTCTTTTCTTTTTTTTTTTCTTTCTTTCTTTCTTTCTTCTCTTCTCTTCTCTTCTCTTCTCTTCTCTTCTCTTCTCTTCTCTTCTCTTCTCTTCTCTTCTCTTCTCTTCTCTTCTCTTCCTGCAGTCCCGGGGCAGGGGGTGTGGGGAGGAGGCACTGTATGAGAGGCCGGTTTTCTGCTGACTCACATGGGTGTGGGAAGGTGCCTGTGGAAATTCAAGTAATCTCTGAATTCTGTCCTTTTGCTCCCAGAATCCATAAAAATCACAGCTCAGTTTCAAAGTTTGGATAATCCAGATTGACAAATGCCTTCTTAGGAAAAATGATTTTGACGCTCAGTTTATTTCTCTGGATTGCTGCTCTTTCTCCAGTTTGGGCTTGGGGTTTCTTACCACTTTGTCAGCTCTTTAAAGATTTTATGAAAATTAAAAGAAAAATTATCCAGCATGCTTATTTGGTTGATCCAAATTGCTAGTCACTTTGATTCCAGGAAATCTCAAGTTCCAAGACTCATCTAATTTTAACAGCAACCAGATGATGTAGACACAATTAATCTGATTTTTCTAATGATGCAAATGTGATTCAGGGAGTTTAAATAACTTGCAAAAGGTCACACAGCTAACAGACAATGCAGTAAGATTCCAACCAAGTTTCTGACTTTAATTCTATACCTCTTTCTGAGGTTCGTCATGTAACCTTGGAGAAGTCACTTTACTCCTCTGGTTTAAATTTTATTTACAAAATGTGATAGTCAACTTTTCATTATTTTAACAAGTGCCCATGATAAATCAGCTAAAAAAGAGAAAATGTTATTCTAGCTCACAGTTTTATAGGTTTAAGTCTAGGATCATTTGACCCTGATGCCTTTGGGGGACATCCAAAATCCAAACTATAGCACAAAATGAAGAAAATAGAAGGACCCATATCAAAGAATTATGCAGGTGAAATGAGCTAGTATATGTAAAGCATTTTTGTCTATGTCTTACACATAGAATTTAACAAATATTTGTAGTTTCTAATATTGTGATTGTAATTCTTTTTTTAACTTTAATTTTTTTTTTTTTTTTTTTTTTGGTCTTTTTGAGACAGGGTCTCACTATGCAGTTCAGGCTGGCCTGGAGCTCACTTTGTAGCCCAGGCTGATCTCAAACTCACAATGATCCTCCTGCCTCAGCCTCCCAAGTGCTGGGATTACAGATATGTACCACCAAGACTGGCTATAATTTTTTAAGGAAATCAGACTTAGGTAGAAGCTGGAGTGGACCAATTGAAAAAATACTTGCCAACCTCTCTCTCATTCATTCATTAATTTGCTCACCATTTGCAGGCTCCTCCTAGTGAACATGTAGGCCAAGGTGCCTCCCTATCCTGGAGTTCCAGAGAGCGGAGTTACTTCCTTTCTGGTCTCTAGGATAAGAGAGGAGTTTTGTCTGAGTAAATGGTTTGCAGTTACAGTATTTGTTAAGCCCTTTTCTTATTTTCTTGTCTCGTTTCTCAAGTCCCACTCTTTTCATCTTACAGACCCACAGTGGGTAGATTCTACAGCCAGGAGTTATTATCGTGGAGTTCTTCCACTGGGCTCTCTCAGCCTTCGGATGACGGGAGTCCTAAAGCATGAGCTACTTGCTTCTTTTCTTTTCTCAGGTGTTAGCTGTCTCCTTAGAGACTGCCAGGCCTTCCCTGGAAAATGAGAGGCCAAACCTGAGAGTCACCCATCAGATGAATAGTTGACGAACCATAAATATCCATCAGGTGCTTGCAATGTGCCGAGCTTTCTATGTGGGCTCTGAGGAGATTGTGAAGGTAACCATAACACGGTCCCGGGACAGGGCAAAGAGCACAATAGCCCATCAATAGCAGTTCCCTTTAACAACGGAAAGGTGTCAGGCAGTATTTAGGTGTAAGATGAATGCAATCTGGGTAGGGTGCTAGGAATTCAGAGGGGAAAGGAGGAAGAATGTATGTGTGCATCAAGTGTATGTTTTGTGATTGGTGTCCAGCTCCCAGTTAGGAGGCAAACTGAATGAAGACACTCTTTCTGGGAGAGAAGGTGGAACAACCCTAGGGGCCAGAGAGTGAAAAAGTGGAGAAGGGGACTGAGGTTGTAGCTGTCTTGCACAGGGCCCTGATGCAACCCCAGCACTGAATAAAGAGAAAGAAGGAAAGAAGACATAGAAAACATAGGGAAGGACCAGAGGCAATATATCAAGTTAGAATACAAAAATCCCAGCAAGAAGCCAAAGTCACGGTAGGTATCTAATCTGATGTGTGGTTCCCGGCAACACACATGAAATCAAATAGTGTTCAGCTTGACTTTGTTCATGTAGATCAGGTATCTATCCAGATGCTTATTGGAGGGCTGGGGATATAGCTCAGTGGCACAGCACCTGCCTGGCAAGCACAAGGTCCTGAGTTTGATTTCTAGTACCAAAACAAAACAAAAACAAAAAACAAAACAAAATAAAACAAAACAGGTGCTTATTGGTAAGTCTAGTCTTGGGTATATGCAATTTTTTTTGTAATAATTACTAGAACCCATCATTCTTATTCCCCTCCTCTTCTTTTGTGGTCCTGGGAATTGAACCCAGAGCCTCGTGCATGCTAGGCAAGTGCTCTACCCTTGAGCTACATCCCAGCCCTCATTCTTGCCTCTGAGAATAGACAAAGACCTCCTACCTCAGAGATCTATTAGAAAGGTCAGCTAAAAGAAATAGAACTTAGCATCCATCTGAATCCTGGGATTCCTACAGCTTGTTTCTGTTCTCATACTATTTCTTTCAGGATTCTTATTTCCTTAAATGTTGTCTTGCTTCTAACCTTGGACCTGGGTGAAATAAAGATTCAGGATGGGGTTGAAGAAAGTGGTTGAGAACTAAGACCAAGCCCAAAATTTCTTCTTTCTCATTCTTAGTGTACATGGCAAAAAGTGGGCAAGACAGCCAGGCGTAGTGGCACACATGTGTAATCCCAGGACTTTGGGAGGCTGAGGCAGGAGAATCGCAAATTAGAATCTTGCTTGGGGAATTTTGTGACATCCTATCTCAATTTTTTTTGATACTGGGGAATAAACCCAGGGTCTTTGGACTAAGCTTTATCCCTAGTCCTTTTTATTTTTACTTTTTGAGACAAAGTCTTATGAATTTGCTTAATTGCCCCGGGTAAGCTTGTACTTGCTCTCTCCTGGCCTTAGCTTCTCAGACTGATGAGGTTACAGGCCTGCGCCACCATGCCTGGCCCTATCTCAAAATTTAAGTAAATAAATAAGTACGGCTGGGGATGTGAAGGGCTCTGGGCTCAATCTCCAGGTATGGGGGTTGGTTAGGGGGAAGGAACTGGGTATAACTTCTCAAGCATTGACTGAATTGGACCATTTGAGAAGGTAAAGTACCAAAAAATAGTTTGCTATGCTCATTGCTTTCAAATTTTATCAGGATGTTATTTTATTGAAGTCTTCAATATTAATAATATCATAATTGCTTTATGTTTACATGTCATTGCATATGAAATACAAATCTCTCTTTGTTGGTTTGTTTGTTTCTTTTTTTTGGTAGTCTTAGTGATGGAAACTAGAGTCTTCTCACTGAGCTATGGACCTAGCTTTCTCTTTTGCTTTTTCTTTCTTTTTTTTTTTTTTTTTTGAGATGGAGTCTTACTAAGTTGCTAAATTGCCTAGGCTGGGCTCAAACTTTTGATCCTTCTGCCTCAGCCTCCCAGAGTGTTGGCACAGGCCACCATCACAGGCATGTGCCATCTCACACCACACAGAGTTTCATATTTCTTTTTTTTTTTTTGTCTTTTTGACACAGGTCTCGCCATGCAGTTCAGTCTGAACTTGAGCTCACTTTGTAGCCCAGGCTGGCCTTGAACTCGCAATGATAGTGTAAGAACTTGAAAGTGTAAATAAAATCTGAAAGGTGTAATGGAGATTGTGAACCGCAAAGAAACTGTTCAAAGGGAGGGATGAGGGAAAAGAGAAACAGAAAGAAGGGAAAAAATATATACATACCTATACACACCCAGGATAACTGAGTCATACTATCGACTTCTATTGCTTCACTGACAGGAACAGTTAATGCTTAATTGTTTGATCAACCTTAAATGCCTATATTTGTTTAACTGAATAACCAATTTGAAGATAACAACATGTAATACAATATCTATTGTTAATTTTCTATCATCTTGTATGAAACTCCATATTGCTTCTATTGTTTGGTTGTTGCTTTGTTAATGTCTGTTTGTTAATATGTTTTTGTTCTTTATCTTTTTTTTTTTTTGTGGTACTGGGGATCGAACTCATGACCTTGTGCTTGCCAGGCAGGCGCTTATGCCACTGAGCTATATCCCCAGCCCCTTGTTCTTTATCTTTAAAAATCAAAAAAAAAAAAAAAAAGAAAGAAAACCCAAAACAGCCAAGAGAGAGCAATAAAAAAAGAGGGAGTAGTGGAGTTTTAAATCTTGGTCCCTAAGGGGCAGCAAACAAAAATCCACACAAAGCAAATGTGAAATCCATAAAGTATCTGAAAGGAGAAGGAAATGGTTCAGGAAATTCAAAAGAAACCAAAGAGAAAAGAGGAGGAAATAGATACAGACCAAGAGTCCCAGACTGGCCGCTAAAGGGGCTGGGAGAATCCCAGGTGGAGATGGAGGCGTTTTCCGAGAGAGTAAGCCTGCGGTTGTTAGAAGCGGAGGATGTGGCCTGCAGGGCGCAGCCCACGTGACAGATGCCAGGTGACCGACAATGCCTGGCCTAGGAGCTCAGCAGGAAAACTGCTCCTGCCCTACAAGGGCAGACTCCTGCCCAAGAGCCCGGAAGTAGCTCTTAGACAAATCCCCAAGGACACCCAAGAGTGGAGGGAGGTACATTCCCGACCGTTGACCGGGTTGTCAGGGTTGCAGTGGGTCATGGGGCATCCTGGATTCAAAGGCAGTAAGTTTCGTGCATGGAGCAGGAGCAGCGGACGGAGCCTCCCAGCAGCGCTTCAGAGGGGCTGTGATTCCGTCAGTTTCACAGGTGAGTGAGGAGCTGGGCTAGACGGTGACAGTCCATTACTCCCCCAGGCCAGTGTCACCCAGCCCCAGAGTATGAGGCTGAGCGTGAAGCCCCAGCCGCTCCATCTCCAAGGCGTCCCACTTACCTCATGCTGGGCATTGTTTCATTTTTTGAAATCTCACCTAAGGTCAAGTTCTTTTATATTTGCTCTGAGCTAGAACAGGACCAGCCATGTGCTTAAGTGTCAGCACGTCAGCATTTCGAAACCTGCCACTTCCACATGACCTTAACACCTAGAGCTAAAATTGGTCGGCAGCTCAGAGCCCAGGCATCTCTTGCCTTTTCTGATGATTTCACGGAAGTGGGGGTGAGGCCGGGAGCCCTGAGAGGGCAGAGTCCAGAATAGGAAATATGCCTTGAACTGGTACTTAGGCTGTGCTTATGTATTTCCTTATATTCACACCAAACTTCTTCAAGAAATGTAGACCGCAGGAGGCAGGGGGTGTAGCTCAGTGGCAAAGCAAGTACTCAGCCTGTGTGAGGACACCCTGGGCTTGGGCCCCAGCACTGTCTTCTACACAAATACAAGGGCAGTGAATGATCAAAATATGCAGTGAATGTCTACATTTAAAGAAAATGTATTATAGTATAAGGCACATTAGCATTCATCCCCTTCAAGATACTCCCTTTGCTTCAAACACACTTATTCCATCATTCTTGCCAGCTTCTAAAGCAGTTCTGGAGTCCTCTTTTGTGAGGGTCTTTATGAAGTATGATAAATAATACAGTGAATCCTGCTGCTGAGTGCCATCCAACGTAAACGCAGGCTCGTAAAAACATCACAGGGTGTCCTCATTCACCTTATTCACTGGTCCGGCACTGCTGCTTCTAGCTCTTCCCCCAAATCACAATGACCATGAAAAGTAAATAATTTGAATGGATTCGGGACATGAGGCAACCACAACAGCATAACTAAGACACTCAGAGAGGGAGGCTTCCAGAGCTGTTTCAGAAAGTGGCAAGAACAATGGGATAAGCATGTTAGAAAAACACAAGGAAGAGTATTTAGAGGGGGATCAAAGGCAGTGTCTTTGTGTCTCTAACTGTAATAAATTTTTAAAAAAAGTTTAATATCCCCCATACTTTTTGATCACACCATAGAAAAGGAAATACTGTCCACACGTTTCTCTTCAGTTATTTGGAGAAAATATGATGCAGTTGCTTTCTATTTTTCTTGAAACATGTCATTAGATCTTGTTTGGATTAATTAACAATAGAATTATTTTTAATAAAAATATCAGCTGTTTAGGGGATGGTAACTCATATCTATTGCAAGACTATTATGTCAGCTGCTTTAACCTATATTGTTTCAGTAATTTTTGGGAGGGAGGAATGACTACACTCAATTTACAGTTAAGAAAGATGAGGATTGCCACGCATGGTGGCACATACCTGTAATCCCAGCACTTAAGAGGCTGAGGCAGGAAGACTGCTGTATGCTTGAGGCCAGCTTGGGCTACAAAGTGAGTTCAAGGCCAACCTGAATTGTATAGTGAAACCCTGCCTCAAAAAGATAAAAAAAGGAGGCTGGGGATTTAGCTTAGCGGCAAAGCACCTGCCTGGCAAGCACAAGGTCATGAGTTCAATTCCTGGTACTGGAAGAAAAACAAACAAAAACAAACAAAAAGATAAAAAAAGAAAAAAAGAAGGAAGAAAAGAAAAAAAAGAAAAGATGAGGATTAGAGACATTATACACATAGCAGGTGGCAGAACTGGGATTTGAATCCAAGGACACTTGAATTTTGACCGGGCTTTGAGCAGAAAGTCTGGGGATTAAAAGACATAAAACTTTTAAGGTGCTTAGACCAATATGCAGAACATAGTAAGTTCAAACAAATGGGAACTATTGTTACTGACACTACTAATATTGAAGGAGTATCTATAAGCCATCTTTTCAAGCGTATCTCTAATACTGTAACTTTTTTCTTTTTTGTGGTCTTGGGGATTAAACCCAAGGCCTTTGCACTGAACCACATTCCCAGTCCTCTTTATTTTTTTTATTTTGATACAGGTTCTCACTGGGTCATTAAATTGTGACCTTCCTGTCTCAGCCTCCTAGACCACTGGGGTTACAGACTAATGCTGGTGCACCTGGCTCAGTTTTAGAGTCAGGGTCTCGCTCTGCAGCCTAGTCTGGCTTGAACCCATCATTTGCCTGGCTTTAGTCTCCCAAGTGCTGGATCACAGGCGTGCACCATACAGCCAGCAGGTGCAGTTATTTCTCAACCTTATCTAGCAGATCACCTGATCCTTAAAGTGCAGATGGCAGACATTGCTCTGATGGTGACGCTGGCACATGACCTAAGTTACAGGATGATTGGGTCCCTTCCCAGGTGTCTGCATTCTTGAGGGCAAAGGGCAATGGTGAGGGTTTCCAGAAGATCACTGTCATGTCTTTTCCCCGGTAGCAGCTGGAAGGAAAGAAAGGTGCAGGAGCCGCGTGAGCACAGGTGCTACTGGTGGCTTGAAAAAGGCAAGCGCAGACCTTCTTGCGATTAGCACAACAGGGTCTTGGGGCAGAGATAAGAGATGGAAGGTCTGGGTTGGTGAGGAAGGCTGTCTGCACCTCTGCCAAGACAGCTGGTGCAGATCCGGCCAGCTTGTCCCGGAAGGTCACTCTAGCTACGGTCAGATCAGAGGAATGGCTGAGGATGTGGATTTCCCTTCTGGGCCCTTGCTCCACCCTCCAGAGGACGCCTTCTGGAGCCGCTTGCCTCTCCTCTCTTGCCAGTATGGGCTCAGCATCCTCTCTCTGTGCTCAGAGACACCTGGACACACTTCCCTACCTGTATCCTAGCTCAGAGCACTTTGAATTCATCTCTTTGGCTGCACTGAAAGTATTTGCTATGAGCCTGAATTTGCTTTTAGAAGGAGAGCCTGGGCCTTATGTCATTCATCAACATGGTGACAGATGTGCAGTAAACACTTAAGAACATGTCATGCCGGGCTTGGTGGTCCACGCCTGTAATCCCAGTACTTGGGAGGCTGAGGCTGGAGGATTGACCCAAGTCTGAGGCCAGCCTGACCTACATAGAGAGACCCTGTCTCAAAAAAAAAAAAAAAAAAAAAAAAAAAGGAACAAGTCACTCTGAAGCAGTCTGCAAAGCAGAAGGAACCGATCTTTCGGTCCACCTTGCAGAGGGCAGTCACAATCACAGGGCTAACAATGAGCTACCTTCACTTTTTGTTGCTGTCGTTCTTTGAGTATGCTGTTGAATCCTGTTTTGTCCATTTGTATTTGTTTGAAGGTCCTGGGATTGAACCGAAGGCCTCACTCATGCTAGGCAAGTGCTCTAGCGCTAAGCTACATTCTCAGTATTTTTAATTTTATTTTGAAATAGCATCTCGGTAAATTGCCTAGCTCTGCCTCAAACTTGCAATCCTCCTGCCTCAGCCTCCCAAGTAACTAGGATTGTAGGCATGTGTTACCATGCTCAACCTGAATCTTGTTTGTTTTTTCTTTTTTTTAGTACTAGGGGTTGAATTCAGGGCCTTTTCACTGAGCTACATCCCTAGATCTCTTTCATGTTTTTCTTTTAACTCATTGGAAAAGTTGCCTAGGCTAAGCTTGATTTTCCTGCTTCTGCCTTCCTGACTGCTGGGATTACAGGCATGCACCACCATGCCCAGCCTGAATCCTGTGCAGAGAGTAAAAAGAAGTTATCTTGAAAGATGAATCTGAGAATCTAAGCATGAAAGGAGATGACAGATGCCCACAGATAAGGAGGAAAGTTTGGGTAATGGCTTTATCTTTTCCAGGAGGTGGACTCCCTTGGGCCTGACCAGTGAGGCCTGTATTTATTTAACATCCCTTTCGAGACAACAGCTAGAAAATGGAGGTAGATGCTGGCTTCCCCACTGGCAAGCCACCTCTATTCTTTCATTTCTACCCTAGGATGCAACCCTGCAGCAGGCTTTGAACTTCCCAGATACAGGGATGAGGCCCTGTAAGCAAACGGGGGCAGAAATACCATGTTTGTGCAGAGCGGCATCTGCAGATTTTGTCTCCAGAACAGTTCAGCTGGAGTCACATTTGGCATTTAAAAAATGAAATGAAGCAACCACAGAAAGAGATAAAACGGCAAGAACTCGCTGTCCACAGTCTCTGTCGCTGTTTCAAATAGGAACAGGCTTCAGAACTAGAAAAGACAAAGTAGGGAGCCAGGAAGTGGAGGCTGGGGCCAGAGATAGGAGCGTTTATCTGCCAGAGCTGGCATCTAATCAGTCCTAAGTCAGCTCTTGCGCGTGGGGGTGGGGCAGGGACATGACGGAGAGCTGGTCAGATGCAGGCTTCTGGCTCTTCCTTGCACGCAAAGATCGAGGTGGAGGGGGACTAGCTGCAGCCCGCCTTAGTGCCGCAAAGGTGGGAAACAACTCGCAGTCCACTCAGAGCCGGCTGCTCAATTAAATTGTATATGCTGTGTTACGGGAAAGAATGAGAAGCGGGTGTGCAGATGTATGGAAAGTGGAAAAAAAAACAAGGCCCGGAACCGTGCTTAGAGTGGAGCAAAAACAATACCCACTCTATGAACTACCATACGCCTAAAGAAATGCTGAAAAGCGTGCAGCCCGGGAGAAACGCCGGTGGTCCTTTGTGTATGTGGCAAGGGAGACAGAAGAGAGGGGGCGAGGAGATTTGGGGACGAGTGAGGCAGGAGACTTTATCGTATATTTTTGGTACTTTTTGATTTTTGAACAGTGCAACCATATTTGTTATCTACAAATCAGCCGAACAGCATCAAGGCGCTGCCATTTTGTCACTGGCCAGGGAAATGGGGTGACTTGTATCTGTCCCCCCAGAGCTGTTAGCTCCCCCAACAACAACTGACCGCTGAAGTCACCACGTACAGGGCCTGGCGCTGGCGAATGTTGGCTCAGGTCCGATCCCTAGCACAACGCCAGGGCCCTCACCCTGGGCAGGATCAAACATTCCAGGAGCAACTTTCTCTGGCCCGCTCTGTCGGGACGCTGAGCCCTCAGCCGGTAACTGAAAATGTCCAGTGACCTTACAAGTTCTGCGGCCTCCAGACACTCCTCATAGGCGGGGCAGCCTCCCCGCCTCGGCTTCATTTTCCCCTCCGTCGATTTATCCCTCCTCCGCTCTTTTTTTTTTTTTTTTCT